TTGCATATTTAAAAGACACAGTTAATTAAAAGCTATCAAATGACTGTTTCTATAAGTTTACAATATATATTTGAGGAATGTATTCTAATTCCAAAAAAAAAATCCAAGATATTATCCTATGAGATTAAGAATACAAGTGATCTTAACGTTTGGTAGTCTGCTAGCAAACCATGTAACCCTGAAAACAGGGTGATAGAAATCTGCAGTTCCTTGGGCTGGGGGCACAGCTCAGTGGAAAGCATTTTTCTAGCATAGGCAACACCCTGGGTTTTCTTCCCAGCACTCTTTTATGTATGATTTTCTATATATAATTCATAAATGTGTATATATATACATAAATATATACACATATATATTTATATGTGCCCATATGTGTGGGTGTGTGTGTATATATGTATATGTATATATTTATGTATATACACACACACACACACATATGTGCAGTTCCTATTCCACACAACGCAGTCTTCATTCACTATCATATGTTTCCAAATCAGCTACTATCCAACTGTCAGATCTTGGACTTGTCATTTAACCCTCAATCCTGCTTCTATAAAATCAAAGTATTGGACTAGATCATCCCTAAGCTTCCTTCCTCTTCTAGAAATTCTCCCTCAGCATCAAGAAAAAGTTTATAAACAAAGATTCCTGAAAGCTGAGGTTGCTACATGAATAAAAAAAAAATCCACTTTGCTGCCAATATTTATAACCCAAAACAAGAAGTAGCTCCCTCAGATTGAATACCTAAGATAGCTAGGTATGTCTTTTTAAAGGCAGGCCATTAATCCATTCACAAATACTTAGAGAGCACCTACTATGTGCTAGCCAGGTACAAATATTTGAATATTTCTTAGTACTTTACTTTGTGAATGATTCATAGCAAAATGTCAGTTAAGTGGAGATTTTAATAATAGGCTGCCTAATAAGCACTAAATATGATAGAAAATAGAACATGGGGGGGCTGGGGATGTGGCTCAAGCGGTAGCGCGCTCGCCTAGCATGCGTGCGGCCCGGGTTCGATCCTCAGCAGCACCACATACCAACAAAGATGTTGTGTCCGCCGAGAACTAAGAAAAAATAAATAAATGTTAAAATTCTCTCTCTCTCTCTCTCTCTCTGTCCCTCTCTCTCTCACTCTCTCTTTAAAAAAAAAAAAAAAAAAAAAAAAGAACATGGGAATTAAGCTTAAGGTTACATGCCTGAGAACTCAGTGACTTTCTAAACCAATTTTATAATTAAGGGATATTTTTAGCTTATTTTTCAATTGGAAGATTTTATCATGCTCACCTTAATATATATAATTTCAGTTTGATATTTTCAGATTTTTTTTTTTTTTTCCTTTGGGGTCGCTGTGATGGCTCCTCTGACCTTAAGGGTCCAGAGAGAGAGAGAGAGAGAGATTTTTTTTTAAGTTGAATCCTTTATATTTTGTGCAGCAAAGGGGGAAGGGACAGCTTCCATTTAGTGTCACCAGGAACTTAAGGGCTGACACAGCCTTGCAAACCAGCACACCCTACTCAGGGCCCATAAAGTGCTCCTCACAGTGCCGGGCAGTGAGGGCTGTGATGAAGGAGAGGGTGGGCCCTGTGGGGACAGCTTTTCAGGTGGAAGTCGTCACTGGCAGGGTGGGTGGAGGGGTGCAGAGTCCTAGGGGAGGGCACAGCACTTAGAAAATCCACAGAGCCTGGGAAAGTAGGGAGAAGCCAAAACCTCAGAAAAGCAGGCAGGGCAGGGCCCATCCGCAAGCTGACAGGTGTGTGCAGTGGCTGATGGGCTTTGCCCTCAGGTGATAGGGCTCCAACAGAAGTGCTAAAGTAAAGGCAGAGGACAAAATTGGACCCATAGTTTAGAAAAAGGAAGGAGAGAAAGAAGGACCCAGGAGAGAAGAGACTCCAACAGTCCAGACTCAAAAGAGAGGTGGGCTGCTCCAAGGAACTCTAGGGACAAAGGGAGCATGGTGAGCCATTGGCACATGGAGTGACAGGAGATACAAGAGCTGAGACCACCTCTCAGGTTCTCCCTGGCCTCCTGGCTGCTGGGAAGAGCAGCCTCCACCTCTCTTTTGAAGGGCTTGCCCCACCCCAACAAAGAACTTCAGTGTGGACCACACACAGAACCTTGGCATGGCAAGGGTGGGACCAACCACAGCATGGGCAGCACCTCCTCAAGCAGTGGGGGCAATATTGCCACCCAAGTGGCCCCTGAAGGTGGGACCATCTCTCCATTGGATCTGGAATGCAGGCTGTCCAGCAGAGAGCAGGTGCCTAGTTTCAAGATGTGGAGTTCGCCTTACCAAGTTCTTTTGCTTGCCTGGGACTCACGCTCTGTTTCTTCTTTGCCTCCATTCTGTGCTTTAGAATATCATAACTTGTTTGGTTTCAGAGCTTCATAGCTGGAGAGGATCATTGCTCAGGACAAATCATTCTTGAGTTTCACCCATATTTGATGTAGACGATATTTAGATGAGACTCTGCACTTCAGAGTTGATGTCGGAACAAGTCAAGATTTTCGGCTTATTTGCCAAGCCTCCCTGTGGTCACATTTTCTACCCCAGCCTTTCTTGGGATTGTAACCTCTATTTCTGGCTCCAGTTGAATTTTCTCCACCCAAATCCCAATCAATGGATCCATGATAATTAAAAGAAGAGAAAAAGAAATATTATTTTTGTTAGGACAAACCACCATAGATTTTTAGCAATGTGTGTCTGTGTGTCCCTCACACCTTTTCCTATCCTGCCTTTTTTTTCCTTTTTTTTTTAAATATTATGTACTATATTTTTAGTCTCAAACTTTATATTATATATTATATGTATTTAATTTATATATATATAAATATAAATGTTTTTAAAGTAAAAATATATATTTTGGCTTATTTGAATGGAATGAATGTATAATAAATGCAAGAAGGACATGAATGGTAGGGCACAGACAGAATAATGTGGACCGAATGTTTATGTCCCCCAAAATTCATGTGTTGAGATTCTTACTTCCAATATGTTGGTATTTAGGAGTTGAGACCTTTGAGAAGTTTTAGGTCATGAAGGTTTGCTCTCATAAACGGGACAGGTGCAGTTTCACAGAGACCCCTAAGGACGCTGCTGTATTCCTCTGCATGGAATACACGGAACATATGGAAGCCAGCCATCTCCAAATCTCAGACCTCCAGCCTCCAGAGCTGTAGAAACCAATCCCTGTTGTTTACAAGGCACCCAATCGATGGTATTTTGTTATGGCAGTCTGAACAAAGGGTATCCAAGTGGACAGGCTAGTGAGTAGACAAAAATGTGAGGGAGAGGGAGATCAGCTGGGGGTACCCGCCTCCCTGAAAACCATTGCAGAAGGCAGGTGCTTGACTTGGAAAGAGACCCGATGGGTGTCTCTCAAATATCGTGAGCCCTTGAGAGCAAAAGGCATGAAACTGTCGGTTCTGGCTTCTCCTAAAACAGAGAGCTGAGTGGCAGCTTTGCGAGCTGGGTTTCAGCCAGCTGCAGCATACCTTCCCACAGGAGGATCAGGGCAAGAGAAAGAGGCAAGGACATGGGTGATCAGCCGGGCGGCGGGTGGAAAGGGCAGTTCCCTTCCTGGCAAAAGGCCTTTCAGACTAACCTTCCTGCTTTCCTGCGCCTGCCCAACCCTCCCTGCAGAACACCTGCCTTATTCCAGGCTGGAATATGTGAAAGCCAACCAACTGACAGGATCTGAAACCCTCCCACCAGCACTGTCTGCCAAAAAAAAAAAAGGATTGTGTTAATTTTAACCAATGTGGAGGGGAAGGTGCGAAGGAAGACTCTCCTTACTTTTCTCTGTACCCTATCCCTACCCTCTCCGGACAATTAGCATTGGAATTGTCCTGGCTGCAAATCAAGGCCACTTTACCTGGATGTACAACAAGGGGAGCAGGCTGCTCCCAGGAAAAGATACTGGCCAATGTGTCAGTGTCGTGCAGGACGGAATCCCTCTAGATTTCCCAGGTCACCTCTGAGCAGGCAGCAGCGGCGGCTTGCCTGGTCTCATGCCGACCTTCAGGACCTCGCCGAGGGGAACATTAGCTTCCTCCTCCTTCAGTCACCTAGTTTTGCTCGCTTTCTGAATCCATGAGCGGACTGAACTAGCGAACGGAGGAGCGGGTTCCAAGAGTCAAAGTGACTAGACAGGGAAACTGGGCAGAGTCTTGGCGCACTTCCTTTCTCCCAAACCCAACCCTGTCCCGCCAGGGTTTCTGGGTCGCTAAGAGCAGATGGTCCTGCAGCGAGACCCGCGTGGGAGAGGTCTCCGCGCTCCTCCCTTCCCACTCTAAGTGTCAGGAGCCATCGTGCGGGGGGCCTGTAAGACCCGAGTGTGTGCCTCCAACAGGGAACAGAGGGAGGCACTTCCAGCGAGGACACATTCCCCGAGGCCGGGCTCCGGGCGGCAGAGGCAGGTCGACCAGCCGCTAGCCTGCCCAGGGTGCCCGGCGTGGCCAAGGCGGCGGTTTGAGAGTACTCGGGGCAGAGGGTCACCTCGCCCGCACCTTCCAGGAACGCCCGGCGGAGCTGCGACCACCGCAAGCGAGGGGCGGGCCGGCGGAGG